CAGGGTAAAGGTATAATGCGTACATGGTGGGTGAAGGATAAAGACCCTAATATCAAACCGGAGAGTAAAATTGAAGGCTATCTAGATATCAACCAGATTGTCAGGGATGATAAAGACAATAATGTGAAGAAACTGTCACTTGAGGAAAGAAGTGACGATCTCAGTTGCCAGAATATTTCACTACCAGGTGAGTTTTGTTCAAACCACTATCAAGAATAGCATTTGCTATATAGCACCACAAGTGTTGAATAGCTGTATAATATTTTCTTTTGTTTTTCTTCTGTCATTTTTAATTTAAAATGATCACAATGAGTTCTTAATCTTATTTGTTTTATTTTTTCATAATTAACTAACATTGCTTTTCCCATTAGCAGTTATCATATAACCTTTAGCCTTTTTAATTTGTTGAGGAAGGATTAATTTCACAATTGGTCCTGATATTTTAAGTCTTTAAGGGACGACGTCAAAAGATCAATGTCGGATAAAAAACTTATTTGCTTTAGTTTGGGGGTGGGGGGTTTTGACCTCAAAAAGTTTCCATCCTACAAAATTTTTTAATGAAGTCTAAAAAACCTTGGAGTATTTGTAGTTCGTTTTTTTCTATCCAATCATAGACAAAAATAACAGAAAATGAAAAAACAAACATCCAAGAGGAGAAAATGGTTTGGTTCGAGTGTAAATATGTGCGTCAAATGAGGTCAACTTCAGGGCATGGACCTAGAGCAAGCGCAGAACCCAGAAAAGTAGTTTGCGCATGCGTATATTCCGCTTCATTATTAAACCAACTGCTATGCCATACTACTGTCCGATTATCAATTTGTATTTAATGGTGGATGTAGTCTGACGCCATGATCAATATTTATCAATTAAGTTTCAGTGGGGGGGTGGGGGTGGAAAAAAACTAAAAGAATTAAGTTTTTTATCCGACATTAATCTTTTGACGTCGTCCCTAAAAGGTTTTTGTTGTTTAACCTTCAAAGCTAGTAATTTGAATTTTAACTAAATTTTAACTGAACTTTTACAGAAAACATGCAACGTTATGTGATACTTGTAACTTGAAATTTGCTTCATAGTTAAATTAAAATTATCCTAGTTAAAAATGACCTTTGCCAAGCATGCTTCTTAAACATCAAATAACGATGACGTGGTAAGTGGAAAACAATGATAGATTCACACTGGATAGTTCCTATTTAGTTTTTTTAGATATAAGGGTATTTACAAAGTATCTCATCATTCAATTAAACTGAATGGTATATCAGAAATATAGGGCAATGTCAATAACTCAAGTTGTCAAATTGCACCATGTTTTACCAAATTCAGACATGTTTTGACATTTACCTTTACCAATAGATATTCACACTTTGATTAAGATCAGAAAAACAGTTGACATAGGTCATTGGAAAGGCATGCCACTGGAAACAAAATACAGTTTTCAAGTGCCAGTAGACGATGGACTGCTCCGTTCCTGTAGTAAAATTGTTTGTGTGAAAACTAATAAAAACATGCCTGTTGTCTCCTGAAGTATTTGAAAGGTCTAAGTGGGGCTTTGTACCAGACACTTTCAGATAAGCTCAGTCGATTACATGTGTGACGTTGAAAAAACATGATTATCATTATCGCACAATAGTTTCGCCATTTTGTTTCCTGCCAATTGATGACAAACTGACTTTTAAATACGTTGTGTGTGTGAAATATGATGCTATGACCCTGGTAGGATCATGGAAACTTGTTATTGGGATAGAATATCTTCATTTTGGTGACAATTTATCTCTGTTTTTTTCATGTAATCGCATTATGGGAATGTTTAGGAATTAAATAAATCAAAATGATCATAGAACATGGGAGAACAATAGTATCCTCTCTTCTGTCCTGTTACCTTTATGCTGGTGAAGAATAGTCAAGACAGGCTTATTTGCATAGAATTAGCATATCTAAATGATCAGTAGTAAGCTTGGTGGACCACAATTGTAGAGAGAGAACACTGCCAGTTTCAAGACAGGCTTATTTGCATAGAATTAGCATATCTAAATGATCAGTAGTAAGCTTGGTGGACCACAATTGTAGAGAGAGAACACTGCCAGTTTCAAATAATCACAACTATCCTTCCTCAATAAGACTAAAATGATTTTCTAAATACTAACCTCTATCACCATGGCAACCAATTGTGTATGATTTATTTCTCCCTTTGTCATCATAACCAAATTCCCCTTTCCCATCGCTATCAAATTAGGTTCCATAGAAGAAAAAGAAACAAATGAAGGACCAGAGATGGGTGGGTTCAAGCAGTATGATAAACCAGCAAACCTGTTTTTACCACCCCTAGATAACGGAGGTCTGAATATTCCATTGGATAGCGATGTAACAGAACACACCAGAGTGCCTTCACCAACTGACAACACTGTGCCAGTCAACATATCACATGTGGTTACATCATCAAATTTGAACAGAGCATCCCTGCCACCAGTTGAAACAATTACAATGAATGGAGCAGTGCCGCCTTCAGTTGAAACAATTGCTGACATAGCAAGTCCAATGGAGAATACAGAAAAAGCGAAAAAGAAACATAAAAAGAAAAAGAAGCACAAGGAAAAGAAAAGAAAAGAAGAAAAAGAAACAGTTCAAAATTATTTGGGCAGCGGGACGCTAAAGGATAACGGTGACGTTAAGAACGGACAAGTTAGTGTTGTGTTTAATGAAAGCACGCAGAAATTTGGAAGTGCTGAACCCTTAATAGGAAATGATTTAGAAAGTAAAGTTTGAATCAAAATCACTGCAAATATTGACCCTGCCCTGTGCTTGCCAATAGGTGTATACCCATTGCATAATAATTATTTTTTAAATTGTGATAAAAAATTTTATTTGCATTCCAAGAACCTTTTTAAATCATTACATGTTGGTACATTCAGGAAATTATTCAAAAACAGTTTAACACTGCGAAAAAAGTGAATGTGTGACTTTTAGGGCTTGTAAATAATGCTCATTTTAAATTCATATATTTGTATCAGGGCAAGAGCTTAATCAAATAAGTATATAAGAACAATTCATTATTAGTAATAATTGCAGTAACTATGACAATAAATATAATTAAGGATTCATATTATAAGGGTGTGTAACTTTGTACATAATCAAAGAAGATCCTATTTCCTATCAATCAGACATATTTAAAATGAATGGTATTACACTTAGAAAGGTTTGAATGCACAAATTGAAAGGAGTGATAATATCGCTGTATTCAAAAAAGTAATATGTAAATAATATACACTTTGTGAATATGCAAAAACTAACCAGTTCTTTGAAAGACTTACCATGCTCATACATTTGTATTTCACGAAATGTATATTAGTTAATTCTCTTGACTCTACTTCAATTTTCACCATATATCACACAGATTGCATAGCCTTATATTATACATTGTAGTTACTTCAATAGTTTTAAATTAGTAAATGCAGTGAGGTATATTATAAAATGAAATAGGTCTCATGTACTGTAAGCATTGCTACACAACAATAATGTTTTGAAAAATATGGTGCAAACTGTTATACATGTAGTTTTATCATACTTCATAACAGAAGACATGTGATCAAAATGAATGAAATGTAGATTCAGAATATACAGGTGTTGTTTCCAAGTTACAAAAGTTGACAATATTATTAATGTTGATTATTCGTATATGGTAATGCCTGAGACAAAATTTGGTTTATAGAGTTTTTGAAACTTGGGCAAACTTATCCATTTATAATCATTGCCGCTGTAACATTGTTTAAATCAGATTTATGTGCTGATACAGCATACTGGTAATTTTTACACACAGAGCAGAGAGTTAACCAGTTTATTAACCAGTTTTTAGCTCCGCTGTCGACTTTGTCGAGCGGAGCTTATCATATGAGTGATTGTCCGTCGTCGTCCGTGTCAATGTTTTACTTTTTCGACTTCTTCTTGAAAACTACAAGCCTGAATGCTTTGGTGTATATGTACCTTGGGTAGACCTCTCTTAGGTTTGTTCATTTCATGTTGATATCTTCAATTCTCTAATTTTGGTGAATATTTTTGTCATTTTTGGTAAAAAGTGATATTTTCGACTTCTTGTTAAAAACTGCAAGTGCAATTGCTTTGATATTACATATATAGGTACTACATTTGGACCTCTCTCAGATTTGTTCATTTTGTAATGATATCTTTAATTCTCTAATTTTGGTGAATATTTTTATCATTTTTGGTAAAAAGTGATATTTTCGACTTCTTGTTAAAAACCACAAGTGCGATTGCTTTGATATTACATATATAGGTACTACATGTGGACCTCTCTCAGATTTGTTCATTTTGTGATGATGTTTTCAATTCTCTAATTTTGGTGAATATTTTTGT